GATTGCTAAATTTATTTGATAAGTAGACTTTGTGTATTTCCCTGATAACTTTGTTAAGTAGGAAGGGGCAGTCGTTCCCTATACTGGTAAGCAGTAATCAATTATGGACTAAAATAGACTTTGATACCAGCTTTGAAAAAATAGAACTAAAGAACTGCCATAAAATACCACAGTGGATTGAAAGTAATTTAGCAATGTTTTCTATATGACCTTAAAAGTCAATTTATTGTCAAAGACAATCCCTAAGTTACTATATAATGTAATCAGAAGGCTGGAGCAGATTATGAATATTATTTCTTTGGTTTAGTCTGTTGATTTAAAAGTTTAATATCATCAAGGAATTTGAGGTTATTTAAGGTTAAGTCAAATTACATTATCCTATTATAAAGTCTTGTTTATCTGTGAGTGGAAAGCTGAGCAAATATCAAAATAATCTCATAAAACATATAAAAGGATGTTAGGGAGTACAGAGTCAAAAGCTTGATAAATATCAAGATAAACATTATAGGTAGGTTTTTTTATCTTTGAAATTTTCCTGAATTGTAAAGACAGTTTCAAGATTAGTTTGTGTTAAATGCAGGGCTGTGGAGTCGGAGTCGGAGTCGTGGAGTTTTGATGTTTTAGCCGGAGTCGGAGTCGGATGGTAAGGAAAAGTTGGAGTCGGAGTCGAAGTCAGTAGATTTTTACGCGACTCCACAGCCCTGGTTAAATGATAATGAACTCATCAGTGCTGAATGTGATATAGTTTACAGGTGATTGGCATATACATTTTTGACATAAACAGATCTTGCATATTTTCAGCATAGTTTAAGAATAACTGTTATAGTACTGTATTATATTTAAATTTTAACATGAATTCTTTTATTTCATATTTAAGTTAAATAATAAAAGGTAACAGAAACAAGTCAGAACAAAAGTAGCAAGTTCACTTTCAAGTTTGCCTCGGATAATCTGTATTCTACTGTAAATTATGTTTTTATAATCATAACTGGCAGAATTGCATTTAAAGATGTAGGATATGTGTATTATCACTTTTTAAAGTATTAAAATATAAGGAAGAAGTGCCAATGATATTGTTATAATAAAATTGAGTAGTAAAAATGGATCACATTATCATTTCACTTCATCCAGTAAAAATAAGATAATTTAATATTAAAAAAGGTTGCATAGTTTTTAGACCTGAAAAAAAATCTTTAAATCGGCATTCATCGATCAAAATTTAATGCATAAGTAATATATAAATGTATTTACATTGTATTTTGAGTTTTAAAATCTCTAATATTTACAAATGTTATTTATTTCTTTCTGAAACAAATACCACTTTAACAAATGATTCCCTTCAAATATTACTTATTAACAATCACAATTCAAGACTGATGAATTGTAAAAAAAAATTATTAATGTTTCTGCATTCATAGATACAGTCGACCCCCTATAACACTGTTGATAATTCTGTTTTATATGAATTCCATGTTGTACAAGTCACTTAAATTTTACAAATACATGAGCCATTCACATCCCGGCACATGTATTTGTAAAATCTAAGTGACTTGTACAACATGGAATTCATATAAAACAGAATTATTAACAGTGTTATAGGGGGGTTGACTGTAGTAAGGAATTTTTTAATCACCATGAGGACTTCTAGCTTTGCCCAACATAATAAACATTCAAAATTACCTTCTACATAATAACTGGATCAAACGTCTAAGCACAATCAACAAAACCTTTAACATCCAACTTTAGTATAAAATATTGACAAATGTTTTCAATCTTAATTGAATTTTTTACATTAAAGTTCATTACTGGATGTTAAAGGATTTCTTGATTGTGCTTAATAATATACATTCATTAAATACAATATTTTGTGGTGGTGCTATAACATGTCAGACCTCAATAGCAAGGTCTAGTTTTTTACATTTCAATACATAATAACAATTATTTAAAAATAAAAGCATGTATAATCTTTATTATTTAATAAAAGACTTGCCGTCCATCTTATTCTAAGTCTTCTCTTTTGGACAGTACCAAATAAATTTGCTTTTATTTGACTGAAAATTTAGTACTCAGTAATCATAAAAGCAAGAATATTTATCCTGTTTTCTCTACATTTACTTAGGATAGCTTTTTGTATCTTTCTGCTGGTGTCGCCGAAGATGTCCTTAAATCTCCGAAGTATTTCTTCATCGGAAGGAGTCATTTTCTTCAACTCGGGGCTTTCCTTTCAAGACGATCATCCATGGCAATGTTTTTCTTCTTTGGCAATGCCAGCAGAGAGATACAAAAAGCTATCCTAAGAAAACTTAGAAAAAACAAGATAACTCGAATATGGGAAACATCTAAGAAAAGAGCAAAAGCCAGCAAGGCCAGGAGAAGACAATCAAAATTAGCAAGAATATTTGGTATTTAGCCAAAAACCCTTATTCACAATTAGAGGTGATGATATTTGTCAATGATACAGTTTACCTGTGTTAGAAAATGTGTGTACAGATTTGACATTGTATAATTAGTTCAAGTTGTATGTATATATATATATAGGTTAAAACAAAATAGTTATAACTCTATGTATTTAATTATATTTTCTAACTTATTCTACCCTCTTGTAACTGCTCTAGATCAAGTTGAATTGAATTGAATTACTAAAAAACTAACTTTGTTTTGTTTATGCTTCTGACACAATATAGTGCTATAAATTAAGACACTTGGCGGATTTTCTCATCTTTATTTAGTTGATAAAGGATTTTCTCAAGTAAATAAAGATGAGAAAATCCGCCAAGTATCTTAATTTATAGCACTATATTGTGTCAGAAGCATAAACAAATAGCAAAGCATGGTTTCATATCATCAAAAAATTTGTTTTGTTTGTTGAAATGCTGCCAAGTAGCTAATCGCCATTCAGTGTTAATAAAATTAATAAAAAATGCAATACACTACTGACACTAAACTTCACTCTGCTTTACATACTTTATTAGGAAACTGAGTGTTGTTGTGAAATAAAGGTTGTCAGAAAAATTTAAAAATGCGTTTTCATCACAAAAAGGATGGTCCAAAAGTCAGTAAACTATTGCAAAAATAGCTCATGTTTCCTGTTTTAATTTACAAAAACCACATTTTAACTGTTTTGAAAAGCTTTGATAGTCATTTAAGTAATTCTTCTTGTTTTTTGGCCTGCCTTGTACATTTCTCATAATCATATTGGTAATGCTTTACCTATGGTAAGATTGCATCTCTGAATGAAGGGTTTGCAACCTCCTAGAGAAATAAAAAAAGTCAAAGGAACCACAACTGACCTTGTAATCCTTTGTGAGATATTTGCCACCTAAGTTTTCAGTGCTACTCTGCATATAGTCTTAGCCTTTGTTGCAAGGTGTCACTCACACCTCAGCACACACATGGAACCAAGCCCCAACATCCCAACTACATAACATCAAGTAGGGGCAAATCATGACCAAAATTTATGAGCATGCTGAAAGTTATAATAAGAATAATAGGCCTATCTCTAGCACTAAATAATAGGCAGAAATGTTATTTAGTGTGAATAAAAAAGTATGGACTTTTATAAAGCCCATTATATCTACCCATGAAATATATTATAATGAATAAGTATTAAAAATTTATGATAACAATTCAATTTTTGTGGGTCCTTGACACTGGAGACCCAGGAGCCCTATTAGTCCCTACGTAGATCTTCCCTGTATACAATACATGTATGCTGACTGGGTACCGCAAGCTTGTGATACAATCTCGCCATGTTAAATGCTTCGAATGACGTCGTGGTCATTGATGCCTTGTTTGCTGTGGCAAACCTCCACACTTGCAAGCAATCGAGTTCCCGCAAGCATTGTCCTGAGTTAAAACGGCTAACTGATAGCTCTCAATGTAAAGCAAACACAAAGGATAAAAGAGTTTACACATTACAATAAATTATTATTGGCATATTTGTTTTCATATAAAAATGTATATCGACAGTCAAAACTTTCTCTTAAGCATGAGGTGCATGCTAAGCAAGCGCAAAGCCCCTGACATCAAGTATCCTATGTACAGTCAGTGAATATTGTCAGAGAAATGTTGCTTAAATAGTTGACCTCTGTAATAACTGGAAAGTTTTTTGTTCTTTTACCTATAGGTAAAATGAAAGATGGTGATTGCGAGCTTTTAGCTGTCTGTTGTGAAGTCAAAAACAGTAATACGTAGATCATATGACTGCTTTTCGATTCCTTTGATATTTTTACCCCTTTGGGCATGGTCTACAGCTCTGATAAGACTTCCATTTGCACACTATATTCATACAGTTATTGTACATATATCAAAAAGAAGCATATCAAATAAAGAATACTAAAAGAATGGAAGTAACTAAAGTACAAGTTCAATCTTTACAGACATAAACAACATTAAATGTAAAGAAATTGCTTTTTTGCCCTTGGTATAATTAAATTAATTAATTAAAAATCTATTAATGTGAGGTAGATAGTAAGGACTTAACACACCAAGTGATAATATGCACCAACAAGAAGGGGTGTATACTAAAAAATAATAACCTTAACGATAATGTACATGATGTAAATGATACTCTGCGACGGACACCAGCTTGAGCATTGGCGGCCCGAATGGTGCATAAGCGTTAAGGTTTTTCTCATTTAACACGTTTTTATACTGGTCAAACGTCTATCTTTTCAGAAAATTAAAACAAACAATGCTAATTTAACCACATCAGCTGCCATGCTATATTTATTTAGAGAAGGATTTTAGCTTTGAGTGATATGGAGAGTCCCCAGGTTGCTGATTTGCCCCTTTTTCCAAAAAACAGTTGAATAATGTAAAATTCAAGCTTTGAAGAAGACAGAGACATCACCCTGAAAGGTTGTCTTTCCTTCTGTACTTTAAAAACAGTCAAAACAACAGGATTTTAAAGGATTAATTCTTTAAAATCCTCAACAAATCCAGTAACGGAATGTTTAATCCTTGAAACAATGCTCAAAGAATACAATCTTATTCCTTACCTCTACCAGCTTTTCTCTTAGAATCCATCCTTCTTTCTCACTACTTGACTGAACACAAGGATGCAGTAGAAATGAAACCGAAACCGAAACCACGGTTCAATACGCAGTGTACTGTACATGCAACCAGTCTGTCGAGAACAATATCAAGTCGTAATACATATTATAAACCGACACCAGCTAATAAATAATATGTTTATAGACTTTAAACGTCGACACAGACGATCAATTTCATCACATCATCGATAACACTCGTATAGAAACAGTAAACAATGACACCACACAAAGTTCAAACCGTTATTCCAAGCTGTATTGTTATCGAGTCAGAAAAACTTGTTGAACGGTGTTATAATAGGAATCTGATATAGAAACATATCCTATACTAGTGTACAGGTGACAAAAGAGTTAACGCATGCAAACCGATGACGTAGGAAATTACATCGAGCCAATACAAAAACACGTGTTCTCACATATACAAACCACGTGTCTTCCTCTATAATTTTCACTCGCTCAGCGCCATCTAGGGGCACTCAGTTAAAGGAAATAAATAGGTAAATTTTCAAATTTTAACACGTCAATTGTACCCTTTCGACATATTATTAGTAAATAGATTTTTTTTGCGAATTTAAATACATAAAAAAATATATACAAAGAAAAAATAGGTAACGTTTAACGTACACAGTCGACCCCCCTATAATACTGTTGATAATTCCGTTTTATATGAATTCCACGTTGTACGAGTCACTTAGGTTTTACAAATACGTGTGCCGGGCTGCGAACGGCTCACGTATTTGTAAAATCTAAGTGACTGGTACAACATGGAATTCGTATAAAACGGAATAANCGTATTTGTAAAATCTAAGTGACTCGTACAACGTGGAATTCATATAAAACGGAATTATCGACAGTGTTATGGGGGTCGACTGGTATCTGTATTGATGTCGCTTATGCTAAAACAAATGGATAAATAATTAAATTCGCCAATTGTTTATAAGAAATTATCATTTTTCTATTGCTCCCATTGACAGAAGAGAGAAAACGAAACCAAAACTAACCGGTTACTGCCGCAGGTAGAAGGATGTCACCTTGACAAGGTCACTAAGTCACGTGGTATAAACGACCACGTGTTTCCTGTTTTGAACTTGCCACGTAATCGTCATCTCTCTTATTTGAATTTCTGACAATATTCGTGATTACTCAATCAGTAAAGCGTTCATTGAGTATAGCAGTAATATATGAAAGCGTGAAGTCAGTTATAAAGCAAGACGAGCGAAGGTATCGGTGGTAGCATCCTTCGTACGTATTGCGCCTCCTTTTAAATATGGCGTCGAAATGACGGTAGTGTTTGTGTGTTTGTTGCACTCACTTAAGCAAGTTATCGTGGCAAACAGGCACGGCGACGGCCAACTCCTACAAAAACGGTTCGATGTCACTTCCGTTACGTGACTACTCGTCTCAACCACGTGTTACCTCTGATGTTATACAGTAAACCCCCTATAACACTGTTGATAATTCCGTTTTATATGAATTCCATGTTGTACGAGTCACTTAGATTTTACAAATACGTGTGCCGGGCTGTGAACGGCTCACGTATTTGTAAAATCTAAGTGACTCGTACAACATGGAATTCATATAAAACGGAAT